AAATGGAGACTCAGTTGGAAACTGAAGGGCTATTTCATATACTATCATAAACTACTGTATAGCAGGATACTAAATACTATGGTGACATTTGATTTATAACAGTGAGCATATATAAATTTTAAAATTAAGAGATAAAGAGGTTCAAGTACTCTTCTGATTTTTAAAAATACTAAAATACTTTCTTTATTCATTCTGTTCTGCTTTACTAGAGATGTAGAAATGAACATGGTCCTGCCCTTAAAGAAGGATTCACTGTGAAATAGTTCAGTTCTGGATGGAACCAATCCCAAAGGAATTGAGAATAAATTTTCTCCTGAGTGTAGGCCAAATACCATGTGCATATTAGAAAAATGAAGTATAGCCAAAGGGAAACCAGGTTGCTTGCGTAAGCCAATTGGGACCCGTTTGCTTTTATCTGCCTATATTGCTCTGCTTTCAGAAAGGATGTTATGACATCACTGCGGCTCTTGAGCTTACTTCTCCTTGCATTTTTCCTTTCTGCACACTATTCTCTCAGGGGTTATCCAGTGGCCAGCGAAGGTAAGAATAGGTTATCTTTATGTTATCCAGAGAGCTCTGAAATGATTTACCTTCTAATACCTTCTAGAGGTACTACTCAGAAATTTACTAAAATATCTCTCAGAATAACAGCAGTGGCTTCTTAGAGTTCAGGTGAGACCAATGTTTATACTTTTATGGAATGAAAAAATAGGTAAAATACATTTATTTTTACTTTTAATGGGGGCATCTAGAAATATGTGCAATTCAACCCATATTTTCTCTTTATGACAAATATTTAATTTGTAGATATAAAATATGTTGGAAAATAAAAGAAAAAAATGCACAATACCAACTATGATGTTTATCACATGTTGGGTACCTGGTTCATTCTGTAAGATGTAATTTAACAGATATTTTTGAGGATTTATATCACAGACAGAATGCTGGTTGCTAACAAGAAGAAAATGCAGCCGATAAAAATCATATTCTTCAAGTTTTTTATCTTGTATTAGAGATCAAACATAAAATAAAAATTAATGGCACAAAGAGGTGTGGTATTATATGTTGAAGAAACTTCGTAGTTTTATCAACAGTACTAGGGAGAAATATTCACTTGTTTAAATATCCATTTTGTAAGACAAATGATAATGTGATTGTATGGAAGAAAATGAAATGAAAAAATAATAATAAAAGGAAAAAAATTAAAAATAAAAAAATAAATAAAAAAACATAAAATAAAAATTAAATACTAGAGAAAATTGTACTTATTCTAATTATTTAATTTTCAGGAAGGAGGTAGAAAAATCAGAAAATTTGATTGTATGGAGAAGTTTTATATTAAGTAATTAATGAGGGACCTTTTAACATAATTAATACATGTTCATTTTATAATAGAAGATCTATACAGTTTTTCTGCTGATAGGAATGAGAGCATATTGCAAAAATTCATATAGAAAAGAAAGTTCATTACTTCACTGGAGCCATTGGTATCAATATTTAAATCTTCAATTCCTTTTCATTTTACTTATTCTATCTTTTTTTTTTTTTTTTATTAATACTTTTTTCTGAAAAAAAAATT